GCGAGTGAAGAAGGGGTAAACTTACGTCCGTGGGAAGAGTGGCCACCAGAATGTCCGTACTCTTCACGGCCACCGCCGTAGCCACCGCCACCTCCCATACCACCACCCATGCCACCGCCCATGCCGCCACCGCCGTTGTAGTTGTCGCGGGGACCGGGGCCGCCTCCCATGCCGCCGGAGGGACCGTAGTTGTCTCGGCCGCCGCCTCCGTAGCCTCCGCCCATGCCGCCACTCATACCGCCGCCGCCCATGTTCTCGCGGCCGCCTCCGTAGCCGCCGCCGCCGCCGCCCATGCCTCCTCCCATGCCGCTGTTCATACCGCCTCCGTAGTTTTCTCTAGGGCCGTCGTTGTAGCCACCACCCATGCCGCCGCCCATGCCGCTGGAGCCGTAGTTTTCTTGTCTTCCGCCGTGCATTTTGGTTTTGGGTTGGGAGTGTGTCAAGTGTGTGGGTCTGTTGGTTTAGGATATGAGATCTTAGGATATTGTAGTGCGGTGGTGATGAGTGATACTCGGATGAGATTGTAGTTGTGTTGGTCGTTGTGGCTGTGTTTGATGATGGTGAGAGAGAATACCAACTTGAGGCGCTTCAGAACAGATGCCTTTATACTTTGAGCGCCTCTACTGTCTTCCTACAAGTCCGTCATCGTGGCTAAGGAACGCGTCGACGTCCGTCATCGACAGTGCCGTCACCCTGTTTGCGACGAATACCCACGTCTCCATGCAACAGTCTGCCATCTACGTCAAATCCCACCACCGGCCGCGGGTTCTCCATTGAAAGTACACCACCAAGCATCACACTCCCGACCCCGGAAAAAGAAGCATACAAAAACACTGGGGAAGACGACGTCAGAGCAGTCCATAGAGGGGACAAGGGGTAGTGTTATTGCAGCCTTCACTTGTCTGGACTCGAGCAATTCTGGTCTCCGGAGTCCAGAGCAGACAGAGCTGTGAGGGCTTGTGGGGGGGATTTTCCGGGCCAAGTGCCGCGTGAGTGCCGTGTAAACCGTCTTGGTATTCTGGTTTCCTTGGTGGAGATGCTTTGATATACCGGATTCATCATCCAGGGCGTGCCGGCCTCTGGGCAGGTTTCCTGCGGCGGGTGCCGTTTGAGCCTCATTGTGGGCTCTGGTGACATTCTAGCCTGCCCCGTTACGCTTCCAAGTCTCCATGTCACTAAGCGTACCCATCCGTGAGTCTCAAAGGCTGGAAAAGGGCACAAAGGGAACGTGCCGTGAGCCGCAATGATGTGGCCCCCCCATCTGATCTCATAACGCGACAGTCATTTCCTGACGGAGTAATTGGCCGGCCCGCTTTCTTGACGGGAACTCGGGAGAGACGTATCCTTTCGTAAGCTTCTCCCGCTCGAAGACTCTCGAGTTCTTGATCTTGAGTGTCCGTACCATCAGTATAGTCAAACACTACAGTGGTGTTGAGACTCGAGAGTTGGTCACTGGTGGCGATGTGGGGACAGCAGAAACCGGGCTGACTAGGAGGAAACTTGGATGGGTGCGCCACTGATTTATTTATGGAAGGACCCTGCTTTTTGATCATCGTACTGGGTGTGCAATTTCATGTTCAATCTTACAGTCCTTCTTGACATTGTCCCCTGGCTTACTGGAGGCAATAAGAGATGTCGTCGATTCAAGGTGCGTAAGGACAACAGGAAGGGTTCATGGCTTCAATTCCCGTCACGTTTTTGACCTGGACGGTTTGTGTTTCCAGTGACATCGTTTCGTTGCGACGCTGGGGTGAGTTGATGGGATGACGCAATGGCATTTCTTGGTCCGATGGGATGCTCCTCCAGCTCCCCGTCAGGCCCGTTTGCCGGTTACCGTTTGCCAAGCAAACGTCACTAACAATTTTTAACGGTCAATGTAATCTGATCTACTCCGTAGTATGCCAGCAGGTTCCAGCTACTGCTCTCCGATGCTTTGAGTACTTTTCAACGCTTGAGCAATTGGCCAAATTGCTCCTCTACGGGTTGTCAATGCCTCGGGCGTACGAGTCTTGGCCCCCTGGCAAAGCCCTACCGACGGGTTAGACTAGGTAAGGTACGGATACGCTATCTGAGCCAGTAGGGCAGCAGGGCTTGGTACGGACTACGGAGTAATTTAGCAGAGTCCATCGGGGAGTTCATAGCGGGAGAGACAATCCGGGATCTTCCCGCGACTCCGCCAAGGGGTGGGATGCCAAAGACCGGCCCTAGGCTAGGATCGGTGGGGGAGAGGGAAGAGGAATGATGGCGTTTTAGGCGTTGAAACTATCTTCTCTTTGGATTCTGGCAGATTGACGTGTGGTTTCTCAAGGCCTGTCAAGTTGGGTCTAGAAACTGGCTACCTAAACACGAGTGTTGATGTGATGGAATTTAATGCCCAGATATTGCCAATGCCCCCATATTCTGCTCATCATATACAAAGTTCAAGGGCAGCACCGTCATCCATGAGAAAGAAAAGATTTCTACTGGATGGACCTTACTCCAAGGACCTGCCCCGACCACGCCGTCGCATGCATATTGGCCGGAACCCCATTTTGTCTTTTTTGCCCATTCTCATGCAGCGCCGCGCCGCACAGCCCACCTGGCGGACATTGACATTGTAGAAACTAAAGAGTAGAGACGGAGGGGGAAATGTTTGTTCTATCTACTGTAGAGTATCGTGAGTGTGTGTATGGTGTTGGGGCCTTTGGAAGACGGACAGTACGGAGTACCAGCGCATGGATGCATGAGAAGAGACAGCCCAAGAGTCGAAATAGGGAGAGAGATAAGACTTGATCGTTGGTCCAATGCCTCTCCCTCCCGTGCCCCGTCCGTCCAAACATCGTCAATGGATTTCCATCTGAGCTGAGTGTCTGCAAATCCCCAAATCCCTCGGGCTTGCGTCTCTCCCACCCACCCATTACGTTTGTCCATCCTGGATTGCGCCCACCCTTCCTTGCCTGGACATGCTTGGCGCTGTTCCTTTTCGACTTTCCGTTCTGGATTAAGGCGGGCGGGCATCCTTTTGCCTCCCGTCGTCCTCTCTACTTTTTCTTCACTTCTATTCCAGTCGTCAGCAAACCCCCGCAAATCTCGTGTCCAGTCAGAGCTTGTGGTTGTTTCTTTCCTTCTTCCCTTCCCTTCCTCTTCTTCTCGACGTTGAGATCCTGGGATTGCTTCATAGAGACGACCTGCTGGATCGGTTACACCGCTTATCCCGGCCGGATACCTACGACCCTTACCTTACCTCGAAACCGACCACCACCCACCCATCCACTCACCCTCCATTGTTCCTATCATCCTGCAGAGCTCTCAGGAAAAGGACGGTAACAACGGCTAGAAACCCACAACCTCGCAGTAGTTCGACCTTCCCTTCTGTAGCGATTTGCGCCCGCCCGCTTTCTTCGTGTTCCATTTGCTCAAATCTTCAATCGCCAAGCAAACACCCCGCGGGCCACACCAGGGGAGCATTCATTCTGTCAAGTGGTTGGTTGGGGCGTTGAGGGCGAGAAAAAAGGTTCTAAACAAAGAAGTCCAAACGAATCAATTCGACGACAGCTTTCCCAACCTCCGCCCAATATTGCCCATTTTCTGGTTTCTTTCTTCTTTCTCTTCTTCTTCCCAACCCCCGACCTTTGACTTCAATTCTCTGCCTCTCCCGTCGAACGGGCCGTCGTCGCAGGTGCTTGTGTCGCCGAACTACCTGAACCTTACAATCTACGGTAAAGAGAATCGACGCCTAGACGCCGCACCCGAAGGAAATCCAAGCATCCCGGGAATCCAATTCTCTGGCCGGCCCATCCGTCGCTGCCACTTACCGAGGCCGTCGCCATTGAGATACCACCACCCTCGACAAACGACGACAACCCCGATCCCGACCGACCGAACGAAGACCGGCTGTGCCACCGCACTCGAACCTCCAACTTGTCAAAGCAAGCCGCATAAGCCAGACCTCTTGGTTACCGCCGCATGATTCCACGATAGAGAGGCCCCCGCAACCTCAACCTCGCGATCGAGGCGAAACCCCCTCGCCGCCGTCAACCCAGCATGACGCGCCCGCGCATCCCCGCCCTCTACGGCATCCTCCAGTTCTGCCTCCGCCTGACCCTCGTCGTATTTGAGGTGTGCGCCCTCGCCGCCCTCATCACACTATCGAGATATGGCTTCCACTTCCCGCTCGGATACGTCACTGTAAGCTTGACATGCATCATTCCCTTGACTATGTAGAACGGTTACTAATTACCCCAAAAAAAAGTCCGTCTCAGGCATAATCTTCTCCATGGCCGAAATGGTCACCCTCGCAAACTCAACCCACCAGATCCCCCGCATGCGCACCGGCGCCATCGTCGTCGGCGATTTCGTCCTCTTCGTCCTCGGCCTCGTCGCTTTCTTCTACTTCATCATCCTCAACGGCTGGCGTACGGGGAGCCCGGACCGCGAGTACCGCGCCTGGCGCGAGGATCCGCTGCGCGTCGAAAAGGAGACGTGGGCGCCGTGGTACATGTGGCTGCAGCTCATCGCCGCGGTGCTGCATTTCCTGTACATGGCCATGCACTGCGTCGACGCGTGCAAGGAGGGCGGGCCGGAGCAGCAGCGGCGGAGAAGGGCGAGGAGGCGGGCGAGGGAGGTGGAGAGGAGGGAGAGAAGGGCGGGTATTGGGAGTAGTGATCCTGAGACGGCGCAGGTGGTGCCGAGTTGATTGTGATGGCCCTCTTGGGTTACTGGCCGACCTTTTGCATTGGGAGTTTTTTTATTGGATTGGGGGATGGGGTGTTCTTGGCGTTTATGAGATGAAAGGATACGGAGATTTCATGAGACATGGACAGACAGATTCGGTGCGGCCTTGAGCAAGTGCTGGTCTTGGCCGGGGGAAGACGAATATCCACGCTCGCGAAGGAGACTGACTACTGAGGGAAGAAATCGACATGTCTCCTTCTTCGCCTGGAGAATGACACTATTCGGATATCATGGCGCAGACACAGAGAGATATTGGATATCCGACAGCCATGTCGTAATTCTAGATGATGGTTCATCAAGCTCTTATGGAACATAGAATTCCGAGTAGCCTCCAGCACTTTCACACTATTGTAGGCACGAAAACAGACAGATACCCAGAATTGTCAATATCAAAACCAGCACAGTTCATTATACAACCTCACTTTCTCTCACTTTGCTCCTCATCATGCAACCGAGTTGACACCACTGTCACCAGCGTCGTACGTCACTTCCGTCGGATCCGGGCTCTCAGCTGTGTACGCCCCTCAAATGACGGCCACATTAGCGGCGACTTTTTACGAGAGTTTAGGGCTGCTGCGAGTGGCTTCGGACCGTTTGAAACGTTGGCCACCTTCTGCCCAGTGGTGGCGGCTTTGCGGCGCATGTCTAAGAAAGTCAATCCACAGGTCGTCGTCTGGTCTTTTGGAATAAAGGTCTCGTGGCTTCATGTTTACTTATCAGGGGCTCGGCATTTCTCAACGCTTGCCGAGTTGAGAAAACGAGAAAACGGAATCAAAACAAACGGCAATCCCTTCATGGTCCTTTTGACTCGCCAAAACTTTCATTACACGTACAACCGACAGCTTGCTTGGGCATTCCGGCAACCTTACGAGCGCTATCATTTTTTCTGGAGGAAACCCGTGCGTACCCCGAGGTCTAGCTCAGATCCCGCTTGGACTGCGCCTGTGTGATGGATGTCAAAAGGGCCATGGTCCCTTGACATTCGTACACAGACATTTGGGACCTGGGGCTAGTAGCTCGCCATGGGCGCGCTCGCGAGCTAGTGAAGCATGTCTCGGTATTCGAACAGCCAGCGGAGCCAACAGGGCCGCGGAGTCCCGACGTGATTGGTAGCTATCACCGCCGGGTATCCGGTGGGAAGAGATCATCAAGGCCACGGGGGAACCAGAGAGGCCATCTCTTTCTTCGAGTCTAAGGGACCAAGGAAAGCCGTTTAAGTGGGTTTTCTTATCGACGAGCGGAGTGTTTGGGCCTCGTATTTGGGCGAAAACCTCGTATTTCAATATAACGGGGTCCTCGGGGGTAGAATCATACACACATTGCCCAAGGGGTCAAATATCTTCTTCACATCACAGCCAAAGAATGCCTATCTACTACATTACTTAGCACCACTGTCCGCGTTCACGCCATCACGGCCCGGAGGCCGCGCGTCTCCTCCCCCGAGCCTCCGTCCCCTTTCCACACGCGACTCTCGCGCTTCCTTTCCCGCCCTCAACCCACCGTCCCTCCCCGGCCCCAAGCTGCACCCATCCCCTCGTGCCCTCGGGCACATCCCACTCCACGCTCGCAAACCCACCGCCCTCTTCAACAACCCACTTGGCACTGAACCGCCCCAGCGCCGTCGTAAACCCGGCCTCCGCCTCCGCCGGCAACCCCTCCGCCTCGCCGCCAAACGAAGCCGGCCTCAGACTCCACTCCCGGCCCGCGGGCGCCGTGACGCGCAGCCCGACGAGGTACTCCGTCATCGCGCTCGTCGGACCCGAACTCCACCCGTGCGCATGGCTCACGTAGCTGGGGTCGTCCGTGTACCCCCGGCCCTTGCGGTACCCGAACGTGCCGTCGACGAGGTACCCCTCGATCACGGTCGAGCCCGTGCCGTTGGGGTGGTTCAGGTACCACCCCCAGCTGTCGCGGACGAGCTGCATCGCGCGATCGGGGCGGCCTGCGGCGAAGTGCGCTTCGATCTCGATGCTGGAGATGAAGGGGGAGACGTTGCCTGGCAGTTCGGGGGAGGCTGGGCCGATGGGGGTCCAGTTTTGGGTCAGGGCTGTGGAGATGGAGGCGGCTTCGGGGCTGGAGGGGGAGACGAGGTTGAAGGCTAGGGCGTAGGCGTTTGCGTCTTGGGGGTAGAGGGTGCGGTTTTTGTAGCCGTCGATGAAGGCTCCCTTTGTGGGGTCCCAGAGGTGGGTGAAGATTGCTTTCTTGAGGGCGTCTGCGCGGGCGAGCCAGGTTTCTGTGAGGTTTGTCCCTGCTGGTGCTGTGAGGTTTGATGTGCGAACGGCGGGAGCAAGCTCCGCGAGAAAGGCGCCGGTGGTGAGAGTGCGGTAGAGGAGCATGTTCGGCGCGCTGCCATTGAGTGAGTTGACGTACCGGGCCCAATCGCCCGCGGCCGTTGCATTCAGGATCCCCGTCTCGGGTATGATCTTCCCGTAAATGTAGTCCATCGCCTTCAGGTACGTCGCCCAGTTCGCCGCCAGCCAGTCCGTATCACCAGAAAACAGCACGTAGTTGTACGCGCCAATCATGGTCCACATGTGGTACGCATCGCTCGTGGCGTCCAGATACGGCGGGCCCGCGCGGGGGAAGATGCCCGAGTCCCGCTGGAAGTCAAACATTGTCTGGATGGCGTTGCGCGCGGACTCGAGGTCGCCGGTGCTGACGAAGGCGGAGGGTACGGCGACGCCCATGTCACCCGGCCAGATCCAGCGGTCGCGCTTGGCGCCGTCGAGGAGGAGGGAGGAACCTACGCCGAGCCAGGCGTCGTTGGACCAGCCGCCGGACGTGATGTCTTCTGTGAGGACGCGGCCTGTTTCGGGCGGTGCGGCGTTGGTTTGGAGGGTGTAGGCGCCCGAGTACCAGATTTTGTTGAGGAGGGGGTGGGAGGAGTGGAAGTAGCCTTGGTAGGCGCGGAGGTTAGACCAGGTTGGTTGGAAGACGATTTCGAGGGAGACGTCGTCGATTGTGAGGGTCTGTGACGAGGTGTTCGTCATGAGGTAGAGCGTGAGGTATCGGAAGCCGCCGCGGAGCTGGGGGAAGGGGACGGTGTAGGAGCCCGGGCCGGGGACGGTGATTTGGTGGAAGAGGCCGCCGTCGACGGAGATGAGGGTCTGTCCCGGGCCGCGGTAGTTTCCGTTGGAGTTGTCCGAGTACTCGCCGATCCAGTTCTTTGCTTCCGTCCAGGCGAGGCCGAGGGTCACGGGCTCGGTGGTGTTGCCGGTGCCGGTGCCGGAGAGTGTGTAGTTCACCGAGGTGAGGCCGCCGACGAGGACGCCAAAGTCGAAGACGAGCGCGGAGCCATTGCCGGTGAGGGTTTGTGACTCGGGAGAGGGGAAGGAGGCGAGTTGGTCGCCTGTCGCGAGGGAGAGGATGGACTTTGGGCGGGCTGTGCGGGAGTCTGGGGCGTATATGTTTGCGTCCCAGGGGCCTGGGAAGGATGCTTCTGTTGGGTGGGTGCAGGTTGCGTTGCGCCAGCAGGATTGGGCTGCTGTGTTCGTGAAGAGAAGTGCGAGACAAAGGAGGAGAGAGGACGATGAGGAGGAGACCATTGTGGACGGATGTGGTGCGGTCTGGCACCCTGCCTAGTCTTGAGTCCTAGACGTGAGGCGGAAGAGAGGTGAGGTTGGTCGGTTCGTGATGTGTTGTGCAGCTTCATGGGCTTTTGGGGTGGTGTATCGCGGCATTACTACCCCGAGGCAAGCGTATTGATGTCGTTTCTCCCCTGACCCAGGTACCGGGGCTCGAAGTGATGCCAATGCTTCGAATCAGGCTAAGTAGAGAGTCTCCGCAAGGTCCCTCTATCCTTGGTGTCATTGTCATCTCGGGCACAGGTTTCTTGATGGAAGTGGTGGGCACGAGGTGATGTGGTATTTCCTCCGGCCCCATGGGGTTCGGTGACTTCGGGTCAATGATGGGTGGTTAGGTTTGGGGAACTTTCTGCAGCTCTGCAGCCGAACACGAGTCGTGGTTCCTCTGGATCTTGAGCAGGGGGCAGACAGGGTGGGAGTCGATCGCTTGGCAGAGAGAAGCAGGGGAGTCTCCGGCAATATTCAAGGAGCAAATCAAGAGAAGAGAAGACGGAGAAGAAGGAGAAGAAGAGGATCAATGGGAAGAGACGGAGGGGAAGGGTGCGGGGTTTGAAGGAGGAGTCTTGCAGCTAAGTTTGTGGGGTAATCTGGAGAAGTGGAACATTGTTTCTTGGCGTCCCCTTCTCTTAGTCGATTTCTGAGTTGTGTTAAGCTGGTTCATCTGAAGTTGTCACCATCTGATGTTTGAGTTAACTTGTCCACACCTGAGTTACTGGTCTAGGTTCCAGATTATGATCGTCAGTTCAGACTCTGACCCTGCTTATTGGTTTTGTGAAGGTCTTTGCTCTACTCAGATTGGTCCTGAAGAGCTAATGGGGATATTTAATACCAAGCAAGAGTGTTTATCCATATGAGTTGATTGACAACTGAATAAGAATAGGATTTACAAGGCTGGGCAAGCCCCGCGTGCCAAGATCTAAATATATACTAGAATTGTATAATCCAACAACTATCTTACGCCTTGGAGATGGTGACCTCAGTCTGTCCGCCAGACAAGTCGACGAGATATCCTCCTCTGGCAACGCTCGCCCCAGACACCGTAAATTTGGCATCGCCCGACGTCGTCTCAAGCCATACAATAGTCGAGTTGGCCTTGAGCGCCGCCTCAGATGCCGCAGCGCCAACACTCAACTTCACAGTCTGGCCCTCGCGGTCATAAGTAACAGTCTGAATCGCACCGGCGCTGAGATCAACCTTCAACCCCAGATCCGCAACAAACACCCGCCTTCGCACCGCGTCCCTAGGCTCAGCAACCACAGAAGTCTCAGTCGACGAAACGACGTTGCCGCCAAACACGACCTCGCCGTACGTCGCGTGGTTTACGATATACACGCCCTGGCCGAGACCCAAACCCAAGAACCCGAGACCGTAGTCGCCGGTATACGGGTCCCACGCCAAATGCTCCGGGAACGAGTGGAACGCCGCCGAGGGGCAGCCCTCGGCGTCAATGTTCGTCAGGGGCGCCGTGTTGCCGGCGAAGGCGACGCGAAGGGCGTCGACGTCGGACGGGTTGCGCTCGAAGTGGTGCAGCATCGGGAGCGAGTTGAGGCCGGAGCCGTAGTGGTGGAGCTGGCGCTCGATGCCCTGGTTCTTGGCGCCGTAGAGGAAGTCCCAGTAGCGGCGGGCGTTGCCGTTCCAGCCCCAGTGGGCTACGGTGGGCATGTAGGCTCTGATGCTGTTGATTGCTTTGATGGCGGTGTTGTTGTGGCCAAAGTACCTGTTGCTTCATGTTAACTGTTGTGTGTCAAGAGTTTGGTGATCTGGGCTGAAAGAAGCTTACTCGGTCCAATAGTAGACGCCTTCCTGGCCAGTACTATCCCACGCCATCTCGCTGCCAAAGGGAACAGCCAGCGTCTCCCAGAACTCGGCGCGGAAGCGCATGTTGGCTTCAAAGGTAGTGGCCTCCTGCGTCATGTTCTCCCTCTTGAGGTCCTCGAGCAGCTCCGCAAACACCGTCTCGCCCATCAACCCAGTCAACCCGTAGTCGCAGTCCGCCGCGCCGTTCTTCATGCAGTGCGTCACCGTGTTGTACGCTTGCGTCAGGTACCAGGTCCAGTCAGCGCGTGTCTTGACCTGCGGGTAGTCCCTTGCCACGCGGTACATGGACCAGTACGCCACCACGGGATGGACGTAGTTATACGCGCGCACGGTGGTGTATGCTCTCTCTTTAGTCCACGACGCCTAGGAGGTCTAGTCACGGGAGGCGTCATAGGTGTAGTTGACGGCGTCGGGCTGGTAGAAGAAGGTGCTCGCGCGCACGGCAAAGGTATCGTTGGCCGGCTGGATCGTGCCGACAATGGTGTCGTGGATGAAGTCGTCCAGGACCGCGACCTCGGCTTCGACAGGCTGGACGAAGAGCTTCGTGGCGGCGGCGACGTAGGCGCCTGTGCCGCCCTCGTCACTTAGACCCGCGATCCAGACGCGCTCGTCTTGGGTGACGATGGCCTTTGCTTCCTTGTCGTAGCCCATGATGGACGGCGCGCGGCCAAAGGGGTCCGAGGTGTCGGTGAAGTGCGCGGCGGTGGTGAGGAAGTGGCCAAGGTCCGCCACCGTTTCCGGCGCGGGCTTGGTGATGTAGTACTGCACCACCTGCGTCTTGCCGTCCTCGTAGGTAATTGTTACCTTTGCGCGGCCCCAGGCGCCGGCGGTCGGCGTGAGGAGGTACGGGGAGCCCTTTGCGGCGGTGTCCTGCTTGATGGTGAAGGCTTGGCCGTCGATGGTCTTAACCGGGGACGAGTGCGTGAGGTAGAGTCTGGCTGTTAGATCGGTGGGCACGACGTAGCCCGGGATGCCCACGGCGAGCGGGATCTCCGCCTTTGTGACGGCGGCCTCGATGGTCTGGATGCTCTCCGCGGCGACGAACCTGAGTCCGACAGAGTATGTTTCCCCGGCCTCGAGCGTCTTCGAGGTGGGCGTATTCCAGGGCGTCGCGCCCTTCCACTCGGTCTCCGCCCACGCCTGGGAGTGAATCATCCACTCATAAGTGCCTTCGTAGGTCTGCGACTGGTAGTAGTAATCACCCTGCGGCTCCCCAAGAAGTCTCCACGCCTCGAACGGACTCGAGCCCAGCGGCGCGACCACAAGGGCGTTGCCGAGGCCCTTTACGGGGGAGACGCGGACGTAGCCCGCATCGAGACCGATGTACGGGTCCGCGAGGGAGCACTTTGCCTGCGTCTCCTCGGCCGACGGGCGCGAAAAGATGTTGTTGATGGCGATAGGCAGACCCAGGGCGCCGAGCTCGACGGTGTCGTTGGCGGTGTTGGTGAAGTTGACTCTTAGAGCGAGGCCGTCGCCGGCGGGGAGCCACTCGCGCGTGACGGTCAAGGGCACGCCCGCGGGCAGCGTCGCGGCGAGGTCTGCACCGGCAATCACGCCCGGGGCGAGGTCCGCGAGGGCTTTGACGGGCTTTCTGGCTTGGGCGGAGTCGACGGACGTCCAGTTGCCGGCGCCGTCGAGCTTGAAGCGGAAGGTGACGTCGCCGATGTGGTGGGCGTAGTTGAAGGTGAGGTTGGCGAGGAGGTCCGAGGGGAGGAAGTCAAAGTCGGTTCCGGGCTTGAGGGAGGCGAGGGTCTGGGAGTCCTTGACGAGCTGGCCGGTGAACTGGCCGGCTTTGAAGTCGAGGAAGCCGTTTGCTACGCCGAGGTCATCGCTGGATTGGGCGTTGACGAGAGTCGTCAGCGCCAGCGTGAGGGCTGGGAGGAGCTGTGTCCGAAACATCGTGAATGATGTGGCTGACCGTTTCGATTTGATCGATCACAACGATGGCTGATGCTTATTCTAGCCAAGGCGGGAGGCGCATTCTATTTATCATTGCGTACTCCGTATGGGCACCAAGAAATGCCCCCATCATCAGCGAGGTAGCATTTCTGTACTGATCTGCGTCATGGACCGCTAATTTCCCCATGGTTTCATGCGATCTGGAGCCTGTCACCCATTGTAGAAGCTCGGGAACCATTGATACGAGCCAGGGCGCTCTAACATTCGGTCGCATCGTCTGACCTTGCGCGCCTTGTCGGCTATTACCCAATGATCGACAGGTCCGGTTGCTGTTCTCTGCAATCTGGCGAGATGGAGGGGTTGCCGGATGTAAATGTCCATGTACGTGAGCGGGGCGGCTAGTCTTTACTTTGCGAGAGCGGATACGGGAATCAAGTCGAGGGTATATTAGTGCTTGTCTTCCCTCTCTCCCCTTCCATTCGTGGAGCCTTAACGTCCCCGTTTGAATTGCAATTAGTTCATTGCTGGGGTAGCGAGTTTAGATCGGGACTGAACCCGAGTTGCGTACTCCGTATGTACTGTTTGGGTCGATCGGTCGCGAGGATGTTGGTTGCAACGTAGCTCCACTAACCAGTCTGGGGTGTTAGTTCTGTTGATTATCTGATAACTTGGCGCCGCGGTTGCGAATGGCCTAAAGAGGAACAATGCAAATTGTCAACCTAGAGTTGCTATGGTAAAAGTCTTGCTTCTTTCAACTTGGCTGATTATCAAAGTATAAGGTTTTCTGGCTTATGTGGGATGTTTCACCACGCCGAAGTCGGTGTTGCCGATATTAATCGACTCAGGAGATATAAAATTAACTTTTAAAGGGAATGAATTAAGGGTGCATTCTTCTTACAAACGACAACGCCCAAAGAGACCCACAACTTCATGCTTCATCCTGGACCATTGTGAATGACATCCACTCATTGTCTTCCCACTCCATTGAATTAACGACGTCTATAATTTGCTGCGTCGTCAAGTCCTCTGCCTGACTACTGCTGTATTTGCTCAACTCTCTGTACGCCGGCAGCATTGTCTCTTGACTCAGTGGCAATCCCGTCTCCGCCGGCAGAAGGGCCGGTGGGAGAGAGGCTGGTGCGTCTGTCGGTTGTTGCCAGTCTGGTAGTGGCACTGACTGTTGCTGCTGCTGTGCGACAATGGTTGTCGAGTCGGCTAATAGCCTCGGTCGGGTGACGTCGAACTCGAGGAGCATCTCCTCCAGTTTCTGCATCTCGTTCTTCCTGAACTCGGCGATGAGGTTGCCGCTGGCTACCATTTCTTCGATGATGGCGTGCGATTTATCGAGCCAGGGGACTTGGCTCTCTATCAGACGCGAGTCGACCCCGCGGGCGACGAGCAGGGCGACTGTCGATACGAAGAGCGAGTCTAGATCTAGCGGAAGGAATGTTTCTAAACCAGACATTAGAGTGATTACTCGACTGGAGCTGCCTGATAATACTGACCGAGGAGTCCCTGCGCTCTCAGACGGTCGAGGATGTTTAGAATCTGGATACCGGACTCGGCGCACATCTGAAGCGGATTCCGAACTTTTGGCGATGCCATCAATGAGTCGGCCTCAAGCGGAGAGTTGAATCTCTTGATCAGACAGCATAAGAGAAGAGGTCGGGTCGCCAGAATGATGCACTTAACCATAAAATTAGCACAAAACTCAAAAGTCAAGTCTAAAAAGTGCCGACACAAAATTGCTCACCTGGTAGTATAGGAGATGCAGGTGGGCAGAAAGTCTCGAAATGCCGTCGAAACGCTCATCGGCAAATAGGGGAAATGAAGTACGCAGCTCATCGGCCACAGCGACGATGCTTTGCAGCACCGCCTTTGTGCTCAGAACAAATTTCTTGTTCAGGCGGCCTTTCGCGCCGTAGACGGCTAGATGTGGGGAGACAAGCAATTAGCATTTGGAACCTCAAAAGATGAAGATAAAGTATGCTACGAAAGGCTTGGACGTACTGCTACTTATCTCTGCAATGATTCGAGCAAACTTGATCTGCATGCTCAGTGCGGTGGTGCGGTGAACGGAACCCGGATAGGATGGGAGCTGGCAAAAGACGCCCTCGTCCAGAGTCGACTGAGGCAACCCCATAAGAGAAGTCATCTGCCGGTCGAGAACGTAGACTGTCCACCAGATCTTGCGACATCGTTGGACTAGGCCTGGACCCAAGTCCATTATTGGCATATCTGTGTGCATCCCATGGTTCATTGCCACGCTTTTGGCTTGCCCAATCTATTTGACTCTGATTAGTCTCGAGCGTGATTATCAACTTTACGTCTCTTGATATCATAGAACTCACAAAGTTGTGCGCAGCATGTCGAAAGTCCAGCGCTTGATAATACCACGCCATCGAGCATAGAATCTCCGTAGACATGATAGGCTCCTTACAGAGCGCCGTCACATCAGGAAGAAGCTGCAACGCCCGCACGAAGAAATCTGCCCCGGCCGGTCTGTTGTTCCCATGCGTCTTTCTCTGGATGAGGCTCTTACCAAAAGCCAAAATCACGAGGAAGTGGATGTACCAGAGGCTATTCTCCTCTGCCCGGTCAGTCGAGGACTTGCCGTAAAACGTCTGCATGTGGAACATGAACTCTTCCTCCTCAAAGAGATGGAACATTTGCCCGCAGTGAAACTTAACGGCATTGATGAGGAAGATGGCATAGTCGTGGCTCGGTATGAGTCTGTTGTCCAGCATCTGCGTCGTTCTGGAGCCGTCCCAGCCGAGGTCGTAGGCGAAGCCGTCGAAAAGGAGGCTGTTTGTTGGAAGAGGAGATTGGCAGACGTGTTCGTGTGTGACGCTTAGGACTTGACGGGAAAAGGACCAGTTTGAAGAAGAGCCAAGGAAGTCTAGGCTTGGATGAGTTGTGTGTTGTAAGGTGCAGTTACTAGAGTGAAGAACTCACACGGTTGTCCATTAGACTCAGACATGCAGAATCGAGATGGCGTTGCAGTCAGAGGGTTTGTCAAGTCTGGGCCATCTCCATCTCCAGGCGGTGAGTTTCCGCCTGTCTCGTCTGGCGTGTGATAACTTCGTCTGCGCTCATCGAAGCGTGACGGGTTATTTGGATCATCTAGCTGAATGAGCATGGGCTTGACTCACACTCAGCCAGGAGACTGTACCTTCACGACACGCGACGGCATCATCGTCGCCATCGGCATGCCTCAAGCTTTCCTCCACTAATGCCCTTGCTTGAGCGCGCTCCAACTGTGCCACTTTTTGTTGCAACTCGGATAGATATCTGTGACAAAAATACCATGTCAGAGAAGTGCAACCTAATCGAGTGTGTGTCGACTATTGCATTAAGTCACTACTCACCCCTGCGTTACCATAACCTTGTTGTCCCGCTCGTCAAAGATACATGTCAACCGCCTCTGCGTGCAATTGTTGCACGGGTGAAGGCCTGAGCACTTGATCTTTTGCCTCCGACATCGCGAGCAGCTGGTGATGACCTATCAGTAAGGCCATGCCTCATGAGTAGTGAGGGGGACTCGATGTAACGCACGCGTAAGATGATCGTTTCGTGATACGTCGTTGAGTGTTAGACGACTCCATTTCTAAGGCCACAAGAACTTATTTCCCAACTTGGCTCGAAACTCGGAAGCACTTCCAGAGGCTGACAGCGTAGGGCAGCGAGAGCTGTGGTGTACGGTGGATAAGGTATCCAAGTGACGTCTCGCACAGAAGCCAGAAAACTAGAGATATCGGAAGGGCAGTCCGAACCTCCAACAATCAGGGTGCGGGGTTTCGCACTACTGTTGCCCATAGCATTTCTTAGTTCAGCGTATTCCCGGCAGTCCATGTCCGAAAGCGAAGTAGTTCAAGGTGGCTGATAACACTGAGGGCATGACTGGCCCGCTTAGCAAGGGAATCCCGAACTTTGGCTATCTCCAAATTCCTATTCGAGCATTGGTTTCTTTGCTGTTGGTTCCATGCGGGGTGCATTGAACCCGTCGCAAGCCGCAGCCAAGCACGGAGAGATAGCACTGCGGACGGCGGGGGTGTTGACGTGGGGTCACCGTTATCGCTGCTTCCGAGTTCAGATGCGATGCTATTGGTCTGTTCATTCTCCAACCTAACACACGGCATGAGAATAAAGGATCCCACAACTTCACAAGAAGTACGCAGATGCAAGCTTTCTAGTCTTACCAGGTTGACTCTGGGGTTAATAGCGGTTGAAATCAAAACATAAATATCGGATTCCTCATAAAGATCTGAGCTTACCTACTTATTACTTACTATAAACACCGACCTACATGTTGTTGCCAATCATCCCCCTCGAACAACATTGATACTAATGCCTTCAATGTAACGATTTGGGAGTTACGGGATTTGGCCGTAATTACATGGGCTTTTCTTCCCAGACTGAGCTTTCGGCAATTAACAGTAGGCTCCCATCACGTCAAATGAAGCAGAAGTCTAGAGGAAGGCAATTCTTCTATCTAAGCATCGTATGATAGAATAGGCTATCACTGCCCTCTGTAAATTTCATCTCGCTTTGCTGCGTGTATCCATGGAAAACCTCTGGTCCAGGGTTTCGCGGCTACTAAAGCAAGAGGCGGATCTGTCGATTGCATAACGACCCGGGTACCTCCACCTTGATTTCTTCCAGGCCCCTCTCAAACCGATGAGTCTGGAGCCAAGGAAGCACATTTTCATCGGTGGTGAGGTTTTCGCTAACGCCCTTCAGACCCACAACAGGAATCTTCGCTCTGTTTGTGAAATACGCCTTGAACTTGGCGTAATCCAGCGAGTCGCTTAGCATGATTTCCTTCAGCTTTTCAGGCAGTAGCACAAGGTCGGCTTTTCCCTGATTTTGCCCCTGCAGCTTCCAGTGGACAATGTGAGCTAGTACAGCAAGGATGAACTCCTTACAGTTCTCTTTTTGACGGCTGCCGCTTGGCGCGTTAACCCGAATTCTGAACGAGACACCTCCGTTCAGAAGAAACGTCACGGTTCCGGCGATGGCAGCGCCGTTGGTGATACTTTTCTCCAAAATATCCACGTAGGTAAGAGCCGCAGTCCTCACCTGATCTAAAGAATAATTGTTAGTAAGAGGCTTGAGGCGATCAAAATGGACCATCAACCTGGTCACTCACCAGGCGTCAGGAACGGCTTCTTTGCATCCGCCATGATGATTGATGGGCACAACGTGCTATTTTTCGTGTGTATATTCGAGTATTTGAAGCTAGAGCTTGCTCCTTGAATGAACGTGCTGCCTGGACATTCTTGTTCCTGGTTTGATCCAAGCTCCTTCGTGTTGCATGTGATGTGCTGAAATCACTGGAGAAAGAGACGATGGAGAAGATAGAATCAGTGAGAACTGCTTGCTGGTTGCATGTATAAAGTCCCATCCTTAAATAGTCGGAATCGGTTAGCAGACAAAGCAACCGACGGTTCCACGAAACGCTTCACCGAAGCTTGAATAGCATCGCTTGGCTCTTTGTGCCCTCTATGACCATCCAGATCATTTGATCATTCGTACTTTCCAAGACTCTCCCATTTCGTCATCCAGTGAAATCACTTGGGCGAGACCGCCCCATTTCTGTGAACAGGTTTTTTGGAGCCTGAATAACAATATCCTGGGTTGAAAGGTTCTTGCGACGATGTTGTAGAGGATGAATACTAGTACGTATCAAGACAAGAGGAAGGGGTGAAATCCTTTGGGAGGGGGGAGTGATCAGATGTTCAGTGAAACAACATTGAATCTCTGAAAGAATGACGATGAACAGGCTTCGACAAAAGAAGGAACAGCCATTTAAAACATAAAAGATCACCAAGTAGTGTAGCCCGAGCGAAACGCCGGCCTGGTGTACCGTAGTACAAGCGAGAGCATAAAGAAAACATAGGATGAGACGGAAGTGAAGGGGATATGAACGTATTCGAATCGCAACGACAGTACGACGGGAGTGAAGTGTTGACAAAGACCGGAGGTGGTGTAACGCAATGACGCTACCAAGAAGTGATGGAGCGGGGTGGCGCAAGTTGTCATCGGATCCGGTACCGCTTCGGGAGGCGTTTAACACCGGAGGGGTGTGGGGTCCGGTCACCGACAATGATATGGTAAGGCTAACCAAAAGACGATGTGGGCGCCGGGGTAATGCGGGCCTCGAGAGAAGTGAGGAATGGAGGCGAAGCATAGCGATCCCAAGCTGGACGTCTGATTTGGGATCGATCTTACTGGACGCTTTGCCCATGTGCCGTCACAGCAGCTTTCGGGTTGGCCCTCTCCAAGCGTGGACATCGGCATTGCCATGCGACCGGCCATGATCAGAACATCAAGCCGCATAGAAAGTTTGAACGAGCTGAAATTCCACAGGCCAAAGAAGCTTTTATTGGGGCTACTGACTTAGTAGTCATTTTTGAAAGCTTTTGAGCACATGCTGCGATTCTTGAAAGCTCTGCCGCATTTTCCGTCCTTAGGTTCACTCACCTTATGAGTCAGGCCGCCTCAGAGTTCAGAATAGAAGTCAACACTCCACATCTTGCTGCCGCCGAAACATTGTCTGCCCATCCAAGTCTTCTGATATAGCTATGATGGATGGGAGCCTTCGACTGGAGATTTACTGGTACCGCTGAATAGAAAAATGAAGGCCACCAAAGTGAGATGCCTTGCAATCTTGGAGACCGGCTCGCCTTTGCTGAGAAGTTTCGATATAGATCAAAGGCAAAGTGACGACTTTTAAAGTCATGTGGCGGTTCCAGGTGTTGGAATCAAGTCAAAGTTGACACCAGTAAAAGTACTGAACTAAGTAGTCTCCTACGCTGATAGCTCGTGGGGCGCTGCCTCCTCCTCATCGTCCTCATTCAATGGACCTGAACATTAAACTCCAGATAGTTACGATAGGAATTGATTCACTCACGCTCTTTCGATGTAATTGGCCTTTTAATCAGAGCGTTATGATGATTCGCCTTCTCTGTGTGCTTAAGTCGTGATCGTCAAGCATTATCGAGAGTGGACCTTCGATTGGACTCATTATTTACCCCCCCCCCCCCCTCCAAAAAAAAAATCTTTCCTGGTTGCAATGTCATTATTCCTTCCGAAGACGTCCAGGAAAATTACGTCAAACATTGAGATGGATTGCTGGCTTGTTTCCTTGAGAGTGGTCTTGGAATCCGGACGACTTCGAGTTCACAACAGGGGTGTCATGCAAGTTCGGGCCATCCGAGAGATAAGCGTCAGAAATCGGAGAGCTGCCCGGAGTAACGTAGGATAAAGCAACGATCTTCAGTGGCATTCAGCACTTCAATTTGGGTTCAAGGGAACACTCCGATTTGCATCCTGTTGGCAAATTGTCCGATTGGTGCGGATATTTGCTGTTCGAACCAAGTCAACCTTCCCCGCTTCGCCCACAAAGGAGGTCGACTCAACCTACATGACGTCTTGACGGGCAGGCGTTGTGATCATCAAGTGCCTGATCGAATTGCTATATGATTCTGGCGTTGCAATGGTGTGGCCGGGATGTCAAGATACGCCGAGACTACAAATTTGCCATGATAGAGGGAATACGAGGCCACGTCCAAGTTGTGGGAGGTCCGTCCACGGGCACTGCGTGTTGCATTATCGAGCTTCCTACTTCGTTAATCGAACTGAATGAACCATGCCTAGCAGCGAGATTAAATATCACGGAAGTCCAAAATGAAACAAAAAAAAAGAAGAAGAAGAAAAAGTAGTCATTCTTGAAAAGCTATCGAGTTCATTGACATTTGACTTCAATAATAGCAATATGATGCTTCAAAGATTGCTGGTGTCTCTTCTCGCTGGGGCAGCAGTCCCCGCCATCGCAGGTGTATTGCCTCCGAGGCAAGCACCGAGTGCTGTAGAGGGCGTGACAACCATCACCAGTCCAGGAGGCTCGCAAATACGCTACAAACAGCCTGGAAAGGATGGCGTTTGTGAGACTACCCCTGGAGTCAACTCTTACAGTGGATACATCGATATTGCCCCGGACGTGCATGTCTTCTTCTGGTTCTTTGAGTCGCGCAGAGATCCTGCAAATGATCCGGTGAGTTATTCACTAATCCGACGATGATCGCATTCACAACAATGACCATCTAATTTGAAGGTGACGCTTTGGCTCAATGGTGGTCCTGGTTCCGATTCCTTAATCGGTCTTTTTGAAGAGATTGGGCCTTGCGAAGTGGTTGAGAACATGACCACCGTACTTCGAGACTACGCTTGGAATGAAATATCAAACGTCTTATTTCTCTCACAACCAGTTGGAACAGGTAAGCCCACGTGAAGTTCTGACTTAGGTCCACAATCTAACATGAACAGGGTTCTCCTACAGCGAGAAAGAGGTGGGGTTTCTTGACCCTACATACCTTCTAGTAGACAAGGAGCCAGAAACCTCCGATGAGCGCCTAGGCCGCTGGTCAGTCATCGACCCTACCAAAGAAGACACCAGTCGTCTGGCTGCTGTCACTTGTTGGGAAGTGGTGCAGGGGTTCTATGACGCCTTGCCGCAGCTAAGCTCTTCTAACATTTCTTCGATCGATTTTCACCTCTGGGCTGGTAAGCATTCATCTACAACATGAAAGGAAGGGTTTTGACTAACAATGAGACAGAGTCATTCGGAGGGCATTGGGGTCCGGCGTTTTACACCCTATTCAACGAGCGCAACTCTGAACTTGAGCAAAGCACTCCGGTCGGGCGCAAACTCAACTTGAAAAGTCTCGGCATTGTTAACGGCATCGTGGATGAGCACGTGCAGACCAAATACTTGCTTGACTTCACTCGAGGCGAAAACAATGGTTATGGCATCGATCTCATCAACGACACGATCTATGAATACGGCAAGTGGAACCGAGATCGCCCTGGCGGCTGCCAAGAGAAGCTTGACTACTGTGACTATCTTGAACGCGACTCAATTGTTCGACGGTCGGCTTGTTCTGCCGCACAATTCATCTGCCAATCCGATGTTGAGGGCATGTACTACACTTTCAACCTGGAAGGCCGAGGAACCTATGATATCGTAAGGAATTTCGTTGTATCTTGAGGGAAAATAGAGCTTACCCTTCTCAGCGATTCCCATCTGGCAAAGATGTCCCACCTGACAACTGGCGAGTAAGTTGTGTTATCTAGAAACCCGAGACTAATTAGTATCAAGACTGACTTGAGTGACCAGCCCTGGCTGAACACCGCCCAAGCACAAAACGCGCTTGGTGTTGATCTAAACTACACGTCAAGCAATCTGCTCTACACTGCTTACACCCTTTCAGGTGACTTTGCGGTTGGATATCTTCCGGATGTTGAAAAGCTTCTTGAACTTGATGTACAGGTGTCGTTAGTTTACGGTGATGCTGACTACATCTGCAACTGGCTGGGAGGCGAGGCGCTCTCACTCACGGCCAACTGGTCCGGGGCTGAGAAATTCCGCGACGCAGGCTACACCAGCTTGATGGTGGATGGTGAAGCCTATGGCGAAACTAGGCAATACGGAAAACTTAGCTTCACTCGAGTGTGGAATGCTGGACATGAGATACCTTGTAAGTGACTTCGTTTCGCGGCTCGTACCGAAGTAGCCATAAGTCTCGATTTAGTGAACGCTAACTCTCAGTAGACTTCCAACCAGCTGCTGCTTTCCAGATCTTCAACAGAACCAGTAATCGTTTCGATATCGCCACGGGACAAATCAGGATCAACCCTGATAGTACGTATCAGACGAATGGAACCGCCAAGACTACCAAGACAACTTCACTTCCGCCTTTGCCGGCACAGACATCAGCTTGAATAGCCAAAAGAGACTTCCATGAATCTCGTGAGACCTGAGAGCCAGGCAACGAAACAAGGCCCCATTCGACTTGGTCGTTCTGCTTGGGGTCTAGAGATATGGGATGTCGACCTGTGGGGACTAGGGTATGGAGGATCTGGGTTATTGCTCTGATCTTGACACTGTTCAAACTTAGGATAGTGAAGGAAACATCTATGTTGAGGAAGATCATTGCAATTGACCTGTCAATCGGTCGGAAGTCAAAAAGTGATAAGCTTCTGATAATATGATCGATAGCTGTCCAATCCATGTAGCTCACTTCCAAGCCAAAGAATGAAGAGAAGGGTTTCAGGAGTTTAATTTAATTAAGGTCAACTTAATTAAGGTCAACTTTGCAAGAAGGACTGAGACTCGGCTCGATGCAGACTTACTGATCAATGGCTTGCGTTATAAATATTTCTTATGAAAGCTATTCGATAGGAAGGACATAAAGAACTAGTAAGTAAGTAAGCCAAAATATGCCTTGTCGAAACCGAGTATCAGAGAGTAAGATGAATTCTGTCAATCAAGAGATATAACACTTTCAGTAGGACATCAATAAGTCGAGGTAATAGTCGCGAGAATGTTCAGCGCTGAATGTGATCCAACTTCAACTTTTCAGCGCGCCCTCTAGTCCTTACGTGCAGTCGAATCTTCTCGGTTCTCAGTACAGGGAATTGTGCTATGTGCAGCTTTGCGGTGCCGTATGGAACCAAGCGGGCCACAAATGTCTCCCCGTGCACAGCTGTATCGACTGCACTGGGGTCTGCTGCTGTTCCGTTCTGAACAGGCCAATCTACCCAAGCAGCCTCAACCTCGAGATATACGGGCGAAGTGCCTGAAGCCCAAATCGGGTTCGGAAGAGCAGCCACCTGCCTCTCAACTCCTTCCACCCAAGGGTCTCTTTCAACGATCACTTTGACGCCCTTTCTAGGGTCAACTCCAATGTTCCAACGAGAATTCGGGAGGTAGTCGTGATCACGGCACGCTTTTCTCCACGGCCCATCGTCTTGATCGCTGACATTTGCAAGTTCTGTACAATCGGAGCTTTGGTCTTTGTAGTTGCGTGGAAGTCTCGTGATCGTCTTGTGGCCGACTTCGTAAGCATAGAGCAAGGGGCCATAGTAAACGCTGACAGACTTGTCGTCGTGTTCCTTGACCCTCACATCCGCGTTCAGCGTGACAAAAATGACAAATTTTCCTCCAGAAGGTATCTGTACACGGTGAAAGAATTCTGAATCTCCGTTTCCAGCAGTCGAGCCGAAAGGTTGCGTTTCTCGTCGAGACTGTGATTCGTTTCCACATAGCTCTATTGTGGAGGAGCTCGATGACCAATGTGGAACTCGGATCAGGAACTCGAAGGACTCTCGCGCATGGATAGAATAACGCAATGCGCAGGGAACAAAAGGGTAGTTTGATTCGCAATTGATGCTTATTCCGTCGATGTCCAGTCGAGAAGGAATGAGATGGGCATGGACCACTGAAGGCTCGCCATGGCTTGTCTGACCTCGGAGAAAGGCGTTCATCAACATCTTGGGGTATGCGGTAGGATGATTGACAGTACAGCAAGGCTTTCATATCCTGTTAGTAGAAAGACCCATGATGTCTAGACGGACCACTAACAAATTCTGGCTCTAGTCCAAAGACATTGGCGTATCGACAGACATCGTAAAATGGCGTCTTCTCGTCTTTGGCAAGTTCCAATTCACAGGCCCACGGCTGGTTAACCTGAGTGATGTATTGATGGCTCCACCAATCCTCACTAATTCCAGCTGGAATGGCGTTGAACGCTGCTAGTTCCACCCGGTCGGCCAAGTCATTGTCCCCAAAGAGTTGGTAAAGGTATGACAATGAGAACATAAGCTCGACGGAGCAACAAAGCTCAGAGCCCCGTTGAGGAGAGAGGCCACCGATGTACTCATCGCTACTGACTGATCCGGCGGGAGTTCCATGATATTTGAAGGTCTTGCGCACAGCATCTCTGGATAAGTTCGCCAACTCAGGAGATGGGTGCATTCGATATAGATGAGCTGGATAACGGAGTCCTGTGTATGTGATGTCAATATCAGCGTGCGTCTCCATCTTAGCGACTAACCTTGCGCAACATTGACACCGTGCTTGAAATTGAGAGACTTATATCTGACAGATGGCTCTTGTGGAAAGTCTTTCCCGAAGAAGATGGTCCAATCTCTTTCCATTATTCGAGATCCTTGCCACATCATCTCCATGACCTCCCAAATGATTCTGCGATCTTGAGTATCATGTGTTTGGTCGTAGAGCCATTGAAGAGTTAGTGCTAGCTCATGGGCGCGGGCAAGACCAAAGAGCTGTAAGTCGAAAACATCGTCCTTCTGTGGGATATACCCCGCATAGTTATCCTTGAGCATGGCGTGCACTAGTCTAACAAAACGGAAGATCGCGTTCATGATGGTCTGCCGTTTTGAGGAGTCCGCAATAGCATGATTCATGAGGCCTTGCAGCAAAAGACAGCGCGCCCAGATACCGCGAGTATGGGGCGTTGTCTCTGGTCCAAGCCAGCCATCCGTAGCTTGGTGAGATAACGTGTAATCAAGAAAATAATCCGCCTGTTTCTTGATTTCGATGTACAAATCCGGATCTGATGCCTCGTCAAGCGTGTATGCCAAGGGAACAATGTAGTTATACCAGTACGGAGCTGCCTCGTCCAAGGGGGTGTACTCCCATGTACCCCCAAGCCAAGTGCTTTCTTTGACGAAACGATAGAAGTAGAACAAGTTGCCTCCAAGACCTTTTGCACTAAGTCGGAGCTGATCTTGGAACCACCCATTGGCCTTAATAGCGCCGAGAGGATATGAGTCAAATTCAAGAGAGGTGAGTGCTGATATAGATGTGTAGACGTGAGACATAGTGACGGAGAAGAGTTTCTTTAGTTGCGTCTGTCGGACCTGTTGCTTTTGGAATGACCCAAGTCACAATGTATCGCCAATAACAAAGGTTATTACCAGATGCTAGGTTGGGAGAGGCTGGCGGACACTCAAAATAAATCATTTTAAATAAACATACGTTATTGATAGCTCGATCTGGGCTAGGCTGGTACAAGCTGGGTACATGTGACGAATCATCGTTAGCCTGCTGCATGGTCGGCAAGGCCTCCGGAGCTACAGAGGGTGGTGGCACGGGTGATCCTCAAGGATCTGAGGATGGGCTGAGACCATACGACAAAGTCCAGTAATTGAGGTTATTTTGCTGCAGTGTCTAGTGGAAAGTATATCAATAGGCTCAGCTTGATTGGAAAAACAAGAAAATACCTTTTGGGACTGCCAGTCTAGTAGTTTTCCTCAGCTCCCCGGCACTGACAATACATAAATGATGGGAAAAGTGCGATTAGGAGAGCAGGCTTGCAGGTAATTACTTAAGCAGGTATTTTTTGCGCTCATTAGGAGTTTGAGCAACCTTATCAAGTGAAAGATAGCCTATATAGGCTTGGCGAAAAGCCCTCGCTTAAGCCACCTGTATTCGTGGATAGAAACATATTTCAACCAAATAGCTTTAGAAACTCTGCCACTGCTCGCGATAGCCCACCACATTTACTGTTTCCGTCAATATTACGCTCTCCTCGCCTTTTTGTCGGCCATCATCCATTGGAGGCCCGATATTTGAGACCCAACATCTAACAGGCCGTGTTAAAAATAGGGTGCAGGCCCAGAGATAACGGAGCTCGGGAGATGCCAGCTTGAAGTAATTCATTTTTACGCTCAAGTTCGAAGAAGCTTAAGAGTGAAAACCCACCGGGCTGCTGGTTTCCGCTACAGGAACGTGATAAAGCCCTCCAGATGATTGATCACAATCTGGTTCATGGCCCCTGCAGATTTAAAATAGGGTCTTTGAACCAACATGATTATTATCGCACACCGAACTCCTGAGCATTGTATCAATACCTTGGCCATTCAGGTGGCTGAGACCATCAAGCATAATGTGTGATCAAAAAGTGATGTTTTTGAATGAGAGGGAGAATACCTAGTTATCAAGTCAGTTCATGAGTTGGTGGGCGAAAGAGGGAGCCCATGACGAAACAATGGCATGTGGTAGTTCTAGGTGAGCACAGACTCACGCAAGTTCGGTATCGTGACAGCCTATGGCTTATCGATGGATGTCATTGGCGCTTCGATCAAGATTGATACATCTTTCACACTTGATCTGGCAATCCTCGCATTATAAGGTAATAATGAACAGATTGATTCTAAAGCGTCAACTTCAACATTGGCTCCGCTGGTTACTAAAGCAATTTTCTTCGAACGAGTTTGAGGAATCTAGTCTATGATAATGCATCTAAAGAAAATGCACTTATATCCTTGAGTTTGTCTAGTACCGCTTGAATTTTCACCATAGTCCTTCTCTCATCAATGCTGACCAACTTATCCAAACCTGAGGCCAGAGATGGCGACCCTAGTCCATCAGTTGCGGCATCTGCCGCAATCGCTTCTAACCCTCCTCGAGCCTTTTGAACACGGTTGAGGTAATGTACTGCTGTTTGGAGAAGCATCTGGAGCCTCAGGTTGGGTGACGGTATCAGCTCCACTCCCGCGATGGAAATGAATAGCCCGTTCTCAGCGTCGCTCATCACACCGTCCTGCGCCGTGAAGTTGGCATCTCTTCTTTGCAGGCAGTGGTAAATCGATGAGTAGAGCCAGTAGTGCATCTCGATCAATCGTATAGACATAGCACAGACTTGCAAATAGACGGCCGTACCGATTGGAGGCGGATGCTCCGGTCCCTTGCAGTCTAGTGCAGCCAACTCGAGCTTTTGGACCAACTCAAGGAACTCTGAAGAGCTTTGCAGAATATGAGCGGCCTCAGTCCCAAGTTGAGAAGGTCCTAGATACGCCGTTGAACGCATTGGGCGAGCTATCTTTAGGTGGAAGTGCGCGAGGTGTTCCATCCAATTTCGATTGAAAGGTAGCAAGGCCGTCGCCCTCGGGATGGCTATGAGCGGGTTGGGGTCGGCTAGCACACCGAGATCGTCGCTAGCCGTGTGTATGGAACATCCCGCGGCTTCGGGGTTCCAATCCGACGAGCCGAAAGACTCGGTCATGTTAAGGTGCAGAAATGAGCTCGGGCTGCTTGGGAAAGCAAGGGGATGCCATTCCGCGACTGTCTGAGAGGACTCAGGTGGTATAGCCTCGAGACTAATAGACCCTTGAACTGCGCTACCATGTTCGTGAAGCGTCTTATGAGTCCATGCGCCTTCCACAATGGTATTGCCCAAACTTGGCCAACTTGCTGGTGTCTGATCTGCCGAGTTGTTGGTCTTGAAGGCTGGTCTTCCTGGCTTGCCGGATTCGCTGTAGTTGCAGACCACGTTGGCGTTTCGGCAACGAGCACATTGTATTCCGAACCCGTCCGTTTTGCATTGCATCTTCATTGCGTGGCATCGGTCACATGCAGACCTTGTTTTGGTAACATTCATCCTTTCCTACGAGCATTGACGGTGCCTGAGAAGAAAGAAGAAAGGCTAATGGACAGTACTACGTTGCCTGTTTGTTTCGTTTCAAGGATCTTTTGAGTGTTCTGTAATAGTTGAATGTGAAATTTAAGCTCTCGACGACGAGGTTCGCCAACCTGTGCAGGGAATCTCCTGCCTTTTAGCGCGTACTGTTGGTGCATGGGGTGAAAGATCCAACGACCGACACCCTCAGCAACGGGCCGTTCCCCTTAGATATGCAGATCGCTAGCATGTCGGTAGTCAATAGACCTAGAGAATTCTATTTCTGTATTCTGGTTCCGCTTGCGCGGCCTCTTTATGTTTGACCACGAGATTGAGGCATAATGGCTGTGAAAAAGAGCCAAAGGCTGTTTCCTCCCATGCACTGTTTGCCACTGTCAAAATATTCTGCAGCGCGTTTCGCTCATGAAGTGTTCAGCCCATCGCTCTGGCGAACGGCTCTGAATGGGTGTGTGTGTGTGTCTTCGGGCAAGTACCTTTCTCCGTGATCAGTGCGCTTGCTGGTCGGGACAGAAACTACACAAGGCCCGCTGCATCCACGCATCGGTCCTGCGCCATGGTGTTTTCATGCAACTTCGTGTACATGGAGTAAGGTAGGCACTGAGGTCTGTTCAGCCCCTTGCCGCAGCAGTCTTTCGTCCTCCCTGCATGCGACTCGGGAAGGATCCGTCTCCGAAGATTCGCCCCCGAATCCTTCATCTTGGCAAGCGGCTCGTACTGTAACCTCACGTCGATAACAAGGAACCCGCAGCATCATGCACCAACAGATACCACGAGGATGCCGGTTAAATTGTTTAGGCTGAATGCGAGTGGATACATCCTCCTGGGACCTGAAGTGATCATGTCATGTTTTCATGGTGAGCTATGTTGGTGCATATCGTCTTCCCCCACGTTGGTCTGACATCGTACATGTATCCAATGATACCTACCGAGATTGCATACCACACGGGCAGATATTCTGAGCACTCATAATGTGAGGCTTATGTGTTCGTTGTCCAGCATTAGGTGGTCTCCTCTTAGCGCCCGCACTCTTCAACCCCATACCGTATTGTATGGATGTAGCACGATCCGGGGTACCATACCCAGTTGGCCAGACACTAACGGATATGGCAGGTCTGCCGACGCGGCGACGCCCCCACCCATAACCCAGTGTAACTTGTTTGGACGTAGTTGAGCTTCGGTGGGAACAGACTTGACGAGCAGGCGGGCCAGCGGGGTTACATCTCAACTCCACCCTCGGACACAGGATCTCGACCGACTCGTACATACGCACATTGGACCTCCTATAACAGCTGATGATCGGTTCGTGTTGTTATCAGGTATTGGGCCGATTCCATATTTACCCTACATGATATTACTTTGTTGCGATTCAATACGTGATCAAAAGTATCGTGGACCATGGAGAACAGCTCGAGGGGCGAGGATAGGCATGGTAGATATGAATAGGTACTCGTGGTAATGCTGCAAGCAGTTGGACTGGACTCAATAGGGGCCTAGCGGGAATTAAGCGGGAAGAACCCGGTATCCCGTCGGGCCTGGGAGAGAAATTGAACATTTGAACCTCAGGCGATGCACAGAGGGAGGATACCCCAGATACTGCGACCAACGGGCTGTGCCGCTATTTGCATCATTCGGTCATCTGTCCACCTCACGTTCATAGGTCGAGACTGCCACAGTGCCAAGAGGGAACATCTTAGCCTGATTAGCATGGATCACACCGCCCGGCTATCCAACGAACCAGATTTTGTGCTCCAGACGGTCACCCCAACAAGTTCGTATTTATTGAGCAAGCAGATCTACTCCTCCTCGACTCAAGAACTTACAATCACTGTTTCTCAAAATCTCAGAAAGTCCCGTTGGTCTTGACGACGACTCTTTCAGAAACCCTTCTCGACAAGAAAATGACGACCGATCCTACGAAGTCGTCTCCGCCCGTTGAAGCAACTGCGAATCAACTCGAGAACCAACAGAACGAGGGAGAGCAGCAGACTACGGCCCACATGCAAGGATGGGCTCTTGCTTCTCTGACCATTGCCTTCATGGCTATTTGCTTCGTTCTGGCACTGGATAATACTATCTTGGGTCCGTAAACACTCTCCCAACCGCGATAAATGACCGAAACCTTGCCTAACATAATGCACAACAAGCGACCGCGATACCTCAGATCACAAGCGACTTCCACAGCCTAAACGATATCGGCTGGTATGGATCCTCTTATCTGATAGCTCAAATGGCAATGTTACCGACCTGCGGCCGACTTTATGCGTTTTACAACATAAAATGGGTGTACTGCACGTCCCTTGTCGTCTTCGAACTCGGCTCGGTCATCTCAGCCGTCGCGCCAAATTCAATAACCCTCATAGTGGGAAGAGCCATTTCTGGCGTAGGCGCTGCCGGGCTGGTGAGTGGGACTACCACTATACTGTCTTATTGCGTCCCCTTGAAGAAGCAGGCAAAGTTGTCACCGGTTATATTGGGTCTGTACAGCACCGGATCGGCGATAGGGCCGCTTGTTGGTGGCGCCATAACTGATAGCAAGACTCTTACATGGCGATTCATCTTTTGGCTCAACCTCCGTAAGTTGACCGCCCGCTATTTTCTCAATAGTCCTCAGCTGACGGACCTTAGCCTTTGGAGCTGTCGGACTAGCTCTGATATGGTTCAGCTTGAGGAACCCTCCACCTGCTGTCAAGGAAGGATTGCCGTGGCAGGATAAGTTACGCCAACTCGACATGCTCGGCGCTATTATACTTCTCGGTGCAACATCATGTCTGAACCTGGCTTTACAGTGGGGAGGAATTGTTCATCCGTGGTCAGACCCGAAAGTCTTTGGCTGCCTCATCGGATTCGGCTTGCTGCTGCTTTGTTTCGTGGGTTTGCAAGCTCGGGGCAAAGAGACGTAAGTTACCAGTGTAAACCGGTCCAAGAGACCTTTGCTTTGCATCCGATTGCATACTGACGCTCACTACCTCAGCGCCACTGTTCCTCTCCGTATATTGCGGGGCCGAACCGTCGTGGCATCATGTGGGTTCATGATGCTCGTACAAGTGGCCATCGTGCTCAACTCATACTACTGGCCAATCTATTTCCAGTCCGTGAGAAATAATAGCGCCAGAGACTCAGGTATATTTTTATTGCCCATCATCGCGTCCAATAGTCTTGGCACAATCTGTGCTGGATGGATTTCGTCGCGGTTTGGACACTATGTTCCTTTAATGTGGATTGGTGCCCCAATTCAGGCTATCGGAGGCGGCCTCTACCAGCTTATAAATCCTCACAGTCCACGCGGTCAATGGATCGGAACCCAAATCGCATCCGGAGTCGGTTACGGCATGTGTAGCCAAATGCCAATTCTTGCTGTTCAGGTGGTCCTCAAGAAGGCAGATGTGCCAACGGGCCTCGTGATCATTATGTTCTTCCAGATGCTGGGCGGGGCTTTGGCTCCTAGTATCGGGCAGAATCTATTCACAGATGCATTACTACGGCGTCTTACTCGGGTTGATGGAATCGATGCTGCGGCTGTGGTGGAAGTTGGTGCAGGGGAATTCAGGAAGATTGTCCCCCCGCAGGCCCTGGATGCTGTCGTTGAGGCGTTCAATTCTGCCTTGAAGAACGTTTTTTGGGTTGCTCTTGCTACCCCAGCCCTAGCTTGGTTGGTGAGCTGGGGCATGGAGTGGCGGCAGATACCTGACACCAAGCGTCCGACTACTGAAGCCTCAGCCGAAGAAGTTTCGGAGAAGTAATTTCACAAGAATCCATAGCTCTGCGTCTTGTACTGAGCATCTTGCCCTAGTTCAGTCTAGACTCGGGATATGTGTCTGAAAGCCCCGTTGGCAAGTTGGGTACCGTGAGGATGGTCCGACGCATATATGCATGTAATAAATAGTATTTTATAGAGAAGTACACATAAGCCGCCGACTTTTCACCTATGAAGGAAGAGTTCAATCGTGATTGCGGCGAAGAAATGAGATAATAGATCATCAAAAGGTAAGTCAACTTCTATTTACATCCTCATCGGCTTATTTCATCTCTTGAATGTCTGCTACTCTTGTTAACCAGCTATCGTTGTTCATCGTGAAGTAGACATAGATGTCCACGACAGGACCAAACAGATCCATAACGATGAATCCCCACCATTGACGGCCGCAGTAGGGGTACTTTTTGAGGAAGGATTTGTAAGACGAAACCCATCCGCCCCAGCCACCTATCACCCAAGCCAAGAATGCAAATCTATCGTGAATAGCCAGTCAGAAGGGTACTGCGTCATGGGAGGTGTTCGAAGATGGTTAATAAGCTCACGCAATCCAAGGTACTGTGCTCAGAGTCTGAAGCCAAGCCCATAGGTACATTAAGGCCCAAATTGGTCGAGCGAGCCGCTCGACCATCTTGAAAGTAGTGTATGGATGCCTCCTGACAATATTGAATCAGCCTAGAAACACTCGCCAGGCCATTTGTCACGCTTACCGCATCAGTTTTGGGAGTCCTGGGTGGACGAAGATGTATCCGAGAAACGTACGAAAGTTTCCTCTGTCCCAACGAAGAATCTGCAAGGCAAACTTATGGTCCTCAGGAATATTGGTGGTGATCTCCGCTTCGGGAACGTTTTGAATGAAGACCTCCCATCCGCTATCGAACACCCAACCGGTCAGGACAACGTCATCCGCAGTGTTCACCAACTTATGGCCAATAATCTCGTGGGTGTAGGTATCAACAAAAGATGGATCTTGTAGGATAGAAGCGCGGATGAGTAGCGTTCGAGCGGACAAACACCAGCAGCCTCCGTCGGCAGCAAAGTGTACCTCGCGAGAACCCTTCCACTGGCATAGGTCATACGTCGAAGTGGCTTCCCATACCGTTATAACGTTTGGATCTTGGCGATCAGTACGGATCTCAGCACTGTCTTATTAATTAGCTCTCAACTACATTCTGGTTTCACTCTGATCGACTAGCGAGGGTTTTCAGACCTCTGTATGCCAGCAACTGCGCCGACCTTGGCATTCTCAAAAGGTGCCAAGAGATATGGGAGCACACCTGCAGCCCGCCAGTACACGTCGTCGTCCACCAAGGCGAGGATACTACCTTGAGCAGCCTTGACACCCACAACCAGCTGCACTCGTTTGTTGGCTAATGGCGCACAGAGGATGACAATCTTGTCAGCATCCTCTTTGAGAGGCTCCAATAGTCGCACGATGCGGTCTCTATTTCGCTCAACTGTCACGATGATGACTTCTCGTGGCTTTGACTTCAGCCAGAGACGCATACATTCCGTAAATGTCGACTCAGTATCGATTGTCGGAACTATGATGCTGACATCCGCCGGACTGTAGCTCGGCTCCTTGGGTAAGGGTGCAGGTTTGTACTTGCTGGAATAATAAGAAATGACTGCTTTGTCGTAGACACTCCACGCCCTGCGTTAGGAATTGGTTATTTCCCTGAATCAGCGTTTGAGGGAGCGCGGACATTTACCACAAAGCGCCAAGAGCCAATGCCATCTCGAGATCCAATGGACTGTTAGAAGTCAATGATAATTAAAGAGACAAGATCGAGTCTAACTGAAGATAAGAATCGCACAGGATAGCTCAATTCACATGAACATGAAAGCCAAGAAGATGGATCTGAGAGAACTTGAAGGACCGGGTCGAGATGTTATACTGATCGTGGACCTAAAGGATAGAAATCATCATCGCAGATCTAATCTCTTGATGCAACTACCAAAGGCTGTAGTAATGACAGAGAAAACGAAACAGTGCCATGCTGTTACTTGCTAAATGCATTGGAGAATATTGGGATTAGCCAAGAAAGTGGCATACAAACACGGAAAAGCGGATGTGGATTGCAGACGTCGGACGTCGGCCTCCTCTCATCCCCTTGAAATTGAAGGGCCCCAATGGGTTTCCAAGGTTCCTTAGTTCCCGGGACTGATTCCCGTGTCGCCTCCCGCTCTTAGCATTATCAACCCGCATGTGGCAACACCAAAACGACCCAACATACTCTGTACATATGTTACTTACGTCTGCATGTTCATGCAGATAAGTAACTCAAATCCTCTCCATCTTAATTTCTGGGCGTAGTTGCCCCCGCATTCGCCAATGGGACCGCTCCCCTTGACGCTCCAATGTCGTAGGGCCCCATATATTGCGTCCTCCCAGTCAACACCGCACCCCACACCACCAAGGTGGGGGGCCTATCTCTTCACCGGCATCGTTCTGTTACATTCCGGTAACATTCTTCCAACCTCTATACATGTGTAAGTCAAATAGTCTGCTGCCCACCGGCGGCGCAGTTGGCCTTCCTGGGGTGTTGGAAGGGGGCTATTGCATAAGAAAGCCTGGTCCGGCGATTTTAAATGAAAGAACCCTCGTTCGGTGGATAACGAAGTACCCTTGTCCGGCGATTTATCAGATGATCGTGAAAACCACTCTTTGCTGGATGGAGGAATCGACCTGCTAGTTCTTTCTGTAGATCGCGAGGACCGGAACTCGCAGGCGACAACAGAGCGAAGCAAACGCAAGCTGGAGGGTTCTCCGCAGTCTAGCCCTCGTCTCTGTCATGGTCGACAGGTACGCAGTGCTTCGATCGTTGATGCTCTGTGGATCAACGACCTCAGTCATACGATGAGGCCAATTCATGCCCATTGGACGCTGCCGAAGCTGTGTGTCACTGAATGTGCCCAGCCGGAAACGTGTGTTGGCATTGTGACTAGGTGGCATCGAGATTCGACAGACGTCTTAGAAATAAAGTGTTGCTACCGGCGTAAACGCAGAAACACAATTATGTCCAGAACTCTCGGCAAGTAAAAACGCCATCCAAAATTTGCGCAAGATTTTACACATCAAAGCTCCTATTCGAAATAATGCAGTCAATCGGAAGCCCAATCGCTATCATCGGCGTGGGCTGTAGGCTTCCCGGAGGAGCCAGTGACCTGGAAAAACTATGGCAGCTGCTCTCGGAAGGGCGCAGCGGCCGAACAAAAATTCCAAAAGATCGATGGCATGCAGACGAGTGGTTTGATCCGTACCCGGAGGCAAAGCAGTCTGTCGTGACGAAGCATGGCTTCTTTGTTCAGGACGACATCTCGTTGTTTGACGCAAAGTTCTTCGGCATCTCTAGCACCGAAGCACACTCCATGGATCCGCAGCAGCGACTGTTCTTGATGACGACTTACGAAGCCTTGGAGGACGCCTGCATTCCCATTGATAGCCTACGAGGATCCAACACTGGTGTCTATGCGAGCATCTTCGAAAGGAGCTATGACCGCATGGGACACAAAGATCCGTCCACCATCAGCAGGACTCATCTCAACGGCACAGGAGAATCGAGTGAGTCATATCCAATGAATCTAGCTGATCATTCGATGCTAAATTATCTATAGTTCTCTCAAACAGGGTTTCATACTGTTTTGATCTTAAGGGGCCGTGCATGACTATCGATACAGGCTGTGTAAATCATACCTCCCGAGATCTTATTGAGTTTTAGCTGACTGAAAAACATTCAGTCTGGAAGTTTGGTTGCTCTTCATCAAGCTTGCCAGAGTCTCAAGCTAGGAGAAACCGATCTGGCATTGGTTGGCAGCTCTCAGCTCGTAATCCATCCCGATGTTCTTGCAATCAGTGAGTGTCCTGCATAAGAATACAGTTGGAACATTGCCTTTACCGCTTGTACTCGGTTACAATTTTATTGGTCCCCAAACTAACGACGAATAAGTGAGTGGGATGGGCATGCTGAACCCGGACGGCAAGTCGTATGCCTTCGACTCCCGAGGTGACGGATACGGTCGTGGTGAGGGTGTAGCAACGATCGTTCTGAAACGGCTGGACCGCGCGCTCCAAGATGGGTGAATTCTTATGTTCCTAACTCTTTCATATATCAAACTTTGGCTGATAGCAAGTTCAGGGATCGAGTTCACGCGATTATTGCAAATTCCGGCTTGAATCAGGACGGCAAGACGTCTGGCCTGAATACGCCTAGCGGGGACGCGCAAGCCTCGCTGTCGTCGCGCGTATATCGTGAGGCTGGTTTGAACCCTGCGGATACGGCATACGTAGAAGCTCATGGAACTGTAAGGAGCCCTGGTCCTGATGTGCCACTTCAAAACACTAACCACGGAATGGATAGGGAACTCAAGTCGGTGACCGAGAGGAGATTGCGTCAATTTCCAAGGTTTTCTGCGAAGATGTCGGTCGACAGGATGATCTTTATGTCGGCTCAGTGAAGACAAATGTTGGCCATCTGGAGGCGGCTTCTGGCATGGCTGGCTTGCTCAAAAGTATTCTCATACTCAAGCACGGCAAGATTCCGCCCAATCTAGATTTCATCAAACCGAAACCGTCGCTCAAGCTATACGAGAAAAAGATTACGGTGCGTTCAAATGAGCATGATTACCCTGCGTTGATATGTTCCAGCTGACCTTGCTTAGATCCCAACAGAGCTTACGCCGCTCCCATCTCCTCGCAACGGCGCCCCAGCACGAGTTTCCCTGAACTCTTTCGGCTACGGGGGAACCAACTGTCACGTAATTTTGGAAGCTGCCGAATCAAAAAGTAAACCAAATGGTGTCAGCCAAAAACCGAATGGCGTGACGGGCAACGGTACCACGTCAAATGGACCCAACGGTGTCGCGACTAACGGGAAGACCTCCAACCACAATCACGAAAGCGAGGCGCCGAATTCACCGCAGCTTTTCCTGTTGAGCGCATCCACTGAGAAGGCACTTTCAACCCGGGCACAAGACCTTGTTCAATGGCTCAAAACTCATGATTTGGGGCCTCGGACGTTGCGTAGTCTTTCCTACACGCTCGCCCTACACAAGTCCGCTCTATCGTGCAGAAAGGCCATCGTTGCGTCGAATCCAGAGCAGCTGACAGCGGAGTTGGAAGCTCCAATGCCAGAAAAGAAGATCAAACCGTCAGCACCGATTACTTTCGTCTTCTCTGGCCAAGGGGCACAATGGCATGCAATGGGCCTCGAGCTGGCTAGGTCCTCATATGTTTTCAAACAGTCCATGTCGGCCATGGACGAAACCTTGCGTTCACAGGGCTGCCGATGGAGTCTTCTCGAGGAATTATCGAGACCTTCCAATACTTCGCGTGTTGGTGAGGCGGAGCTGGCACAGCCCTGCACTACTGCCATCCAGATTGCGCTCGTTGACTTGCTTGAGAGCCTTGCGATTCGACCGAGTCGGGTAGTGGGTCACAGTTCAGGTGAAATCGCGGCCGCATACGCCAGTGGTGCGTTGAGCCGGGATGGCGCTCTTCTCCTGTGAGTTTCATGATTGCATGCGTGGATTGATGCAGTGAAGTCCCAAGCTAATAGTCAACAGGGCATATTATCGCGGTCTGACTTCGGCTAAGGCTAAACAAATGGCTGATACCGGCGGCGCTATGATGGCAGTCAATCTCAGCGAGAGTCAAGCCGTACAATACTTGAAGAGAGCTACCAGCGGAAAAGTTGTCGTAGCATGTGTAAACAGTCCAACGAGCCTGACCCTTTCTGGCGACGAAGGCGCTGTTGACGAGATCAAGTCTGCGCTCGACCAAGAGGGCATCTTTGCTCGGAAGCTCAAAGTCGACACAGCGTATCACTCGCATCACATGCAGCGTGTTGCCGATCATTATCAGCAGGCAATCGGCGAAATTCGGTCGGGACAAGTGCGCGACGGTGTTGTTTTCTACTCCAGCGTCACAGGCGCCGTCAAGACAACTGATTTTGGTGCCAGCTACTGGACCTCGAATCTAGTTTCGCAGGTAAAGTTTAGCCAGGCCCTAATTTTGCTGCGAAACGATCAGTCAAAGCAGGAAACAAACATGGATGTCAGCGTGTTTGTTGAGATTGGACCGCACTCCGCTCTGGCGGGCCCTTGTCGACAGACACTCACGCATGAGGGAACAACAGCCGACAAATTCAAGTTCGAATATCTTTCTGTTCTCTCGCGAAATATCGACGCTGTACAAACCACCCTTACGTTTCTCGGCAGGGCGTTCGAGATCGGGCTTGGAATCGACATGGTCGCGGTGTTATCTGCCATAGATAACGAGGCAAAGCCAGACGTAGTCAGAGATTTGAAGCCGTATCCCTGGGACCTGGTGCCATTTTGGCGCGAATCTAGGTTGAGTAAGACTCACCGCTTTCGTCAATTCCCCCATCACGATCTTCTTGGTTTATTGGACCCGACCAGCACCATTCACGAGCCGCGTTGGCGTTACTTTCTCAACCTGGATGCTTTACCATGGCTGCGTGACCATGTTGTTGAGGGCTTCATGATTTACCCAGGCGCGGGCTACTTGACCATGGCTATGGAGGCAATGAAGCAGCTCTCAGAGATGAGAGGCATCTCAAAGCCAATTGCCAAATTCGTCCTTCGCGACGTGGATATCTCGAAGGCTATTGTCTTGAGCGAGCCTGAAGACGGTAGTACCAGTGAGGTCGAAGTTCAGCTCAGCATGTCCGCCGTACAGCAGCATGAGACCAGCGGGTGGCAATCCTTCCGCGTCTG